CGCTGATATAGGTTTTAATTAATGTATTCTTATGATTTATAGTAATATTTTCATGTTTAAATTTTTTGTCAAGTTCCCTATTAACACAGCAATAATTTATTCCACGTTACTATACACTCTAACACTAGTTACTTCACTAATTAACTCAAAACAATTTAACTCTTTACAACTCTTAACAATATTCACTATCTAAATCGTATAACAGCCAAATTTAAACTTAAAACTACTAACTAATATCGGCCTTTATATATCCGCAATCTATTCGTGTAGAATCCAGAATAAACGCGATAGATCTTTTTCCCGAAGAGCAACGTAAAATCTCGAATCAGCTGTCCAATTCTGTACACCCTGGCGCTTCCGCCAGATTTTCGCGACACTGCCCTCCCAAGGTTGATCGTCCCGATCAACTTAGCGCCCATGATATTTTGTCAAGCTGTTCGAATGTACAACCTTCATCTTACTCCTAGTGTTGCGCTGAACTCGATAAACCAAATCATTAATCCTCTTGATTATTCTGTAGGGTCCTTCACATGCTGAAGACAATTTCGGCGACACTCCTTGCTTTCTTGTTGGATTATACAGCCGCACTAAATCACCTTCTTGAAATCCGGCTGAATTGGCTTTCAAGTCGCATCTGGTCTTCATTCGGTCACTGCTGAATATGCTCCCGAGCAAAATCATGTATTCTCAGAAGTCGTGCCCTTACTTCATCGGCATAATCTGGAATTTCTTTTCGTTCTTCTTCAGGTAAGCCATTAAAAATAGAGGCAAGTGTTTGTTCCAATCTCGCTGGTTCTTTGCCCACTTTTGTCAGGTGTTCCTCTATGGTCTTATTAAATCGTTCTACCATGCCATCAGACTGTGGACGTAAAGGTGTTGTCCTTGTCTTATGAATACCCCTGATTTCACAAATCTTCTCAAAGATGGCAGACTCGAAGTTTCGTCCCTGATCTGAATGCAACTCTAGTGGCACACCATGACAACTGAAAACTTCGTCCATTAGCACCTGGGCAACAGTGATAGCTTCTTAATTGGGAATAGCGAAAACCTCTGGCCATTTTCTGAAGTAATCCATGATAACCAAGATGTATTTGTTACCACGCTCTGACTCAGGGAACGGTCCGGCTACATCTATCGCTATTCTTTCAAATGGGAGACCGACGTTGTCCTGTTTCATGGGCTCCCGAGATCTTAGTTTAGGGCCTTTACTGGTAGCACAGATGTCGCATTTTCGGCACCAGTTTTTAACGTCTTCAGGATGGTGGACCCAGTAAAAACGTTCTCGAATTTTGTTCAAAGTCTTGTTAACTCCAAAATGTGCTCCTGAAGTTCTGTCATGTATTTCTTTTAATACATCTTCTACTCAATCTTTTGAAATAACCAGTTGCCTCTTAGTAGATTTTCATCGGCACTTTTCCAAATTCTTTTCAGTAAACCATTTTCTACGGCCAGAGAGTGCCACTGAGCCCACAACGCCTTGTGAATCAAACTCTTGTTCGACACTTCCCTCCATTCTGGCCTACATTCATCATTTTCTTTAAAATGTAGAAGTTGTCCGATGTCCTGGTCTGCTCCTTGATCTGCTCTCATTTGCTTGGTAGTCCATTTATCATCAACGACCAGACCCGTTCTTCTCACAGCCGGACCAGTGTTTTTCTCATGCATGTCGATTCTTTGACAATGCTTGCAGCCTTCTTTGCATGGCCGTCTAGACAGAGCGTTAGAATTTTTATGCAGGTTTCCAGGTCGATGTTTAATTTGGAAATCGTATTGCTGCAATTTCTCAATCCATCTAGCAAGCTGTCCTTCGGGAGTTTTCATTTCTAAAAGCCATTTTAAAGCTGCGTGATCCGTTCGAATTAGAAACTTACGTCCGTAGAGATACTTATGGAAATGGTCGACTGCTTTTACTATGGCGAGCAACTCTTTTCTGATGACACAATAATTTCGTTCTGGCTTTGATAAGGTTCTGCTGTAGAACTCTAAGAGATGCTCTTGTGGATTTTGAATTTGTGAAAGGACAGCTCAAATACTGGTGTTGCTTGCATCTGTGTCCAAAATCAACATGCCTTTCTGATCGGGATCGGACAACAGTGGGCTTGTACATAATGCTCCTTTCAATTTTCTAAAAACGGAATCGCATTCTTGGGTCCAATTGAATGTTGATTTTTCTTCCGTTAATATACAGGGGCTACCATTTAAAAAGTTGATAACCGAACACCCTGTATAAAAAAATTATAGTGAAAAAATCTTAAGCAAAAAATTTAAATGGACATGTTTTTGCGTTTTGTCCACATATTATATCCGAAGGCTCTAGCGAATTAGTTCCAGTTAAAGTCCCCACCCTGTATATCCGCAATCTATTGGTGTAGAATCCAGAATAAACGCGATAGGCCTTTTTCCCGAAGAGCAATGTGAAATCTTGAATCCGCTTTCTAATTTTGTACACCCTGGCGCTTCCGCCAGATTTTCGCGACAATATTTTTTTGTATTAGGTATTATCATATTTTTTTCCACGTCTGACGTGTCATCTATGTTACATAATATATAATCATTTTGACATAATTCGTCAGCACAAATATGTACACGCATCCGTACAAATTATTCAACTTACAGTTGCACTGTTGTAAGAAATCAGTTCGAGAATTCTTTCGGCTGTGGCATTTTTCCAGAATGAAAATATGGTAACGTAACATATCTCAGATTTTCTCCATCCATGATTTTCTGGATTTAGTTCCTCAGTGTATATCTGGAGATGAAGGCAAAGCAGCTTCAGTCGGAGGTAACTGCTCACTCTCCATTTGCTGTTTTGAGAAATAATACCACCGAAGATGAGCCAAAGTTGAGATGTTTGCTATAGGAACAGATACTACGCAAATGAACCTTCCCAACTCGAACGGCCTGAGTGTGTCAGGAATATTGTACAGCATGTTTATAAAATACTTTACAATCTATCCTCAGCTTGCATTTTATCTCAAGCGATTTTGTGGTCTTTTTCACTGAGTCTATAGACCGGCTTCAGAAAACCACAGGCTTGAGTGGACTGCTAAAGGGTTGAAATAAAGGCGTAATCTTGTAGAGAAAAATCGAGATTTTGAGCGCTTTTTCGACACAAGCCCATCGAAAGAATGGAAATTTGCAACGCTTCCAGCACGAAAAATATATGGATTGATTAACGCGAAAAGGAAAATCGAATTTTCCATATGGTATATCCAGGAGCTACTCGTAAATTTTTCTTTAATTCTACCCAAAATTGATGTACCCACCTATTTTTCCACAAAAAAAAAAAAAACTTAAAAATACAAATTATATTAGACGAATAGTTTAATTTTCCACGATGTGGTCGTTTAGTTTTTGAGACATAGGATAAATCAATACCTATAGCATTTTTTTTCTAGACAATGGTGTTTTTTTTTCTACGTGTTTCCGTTGCTGAGATATGACCGATACAGGTTTTTTTTTAATAAAAACCGGCGGTGGGGGTGGCAAGATAGATTGTCGTGAACAGAAAGTCACTTTATTAACCTCATATAGGTTGCCCATCATAGACACTTTGGTGCGAGTGAACCTATTGTTTTTCCTAGCAGGGCCTTTCCTACTAATTAATAAATCGAAAACAAATTGATCAGACAATATACCTACAACAGAGATAGCCTCAATAATTGAATATTGGAAGATGGGAAAACAATTTTTCTCTTCATCCTTTATTAGGCTTTTCATGTTTACAAGTTTCCCTATCGGGACATAAAAACAATATTGACAACAGGGTAATTATCTATTATCCGTTATCCTCTCCGAATTCGATGATTATTTGTAGGAAGGTATATTTTTAGTCGGTAATCACAAATCTGAAATCAGTTTTTGTCACTCGCGTTTCGTTTCCGAGATATCCATCATCAAGTCTATTATGTTCTATCTTCTCTAAATTCGCTATTAATTTGTACAAGGTATATTTTTGGTCGCTGACCACTGATCTGAAGTACTTTTTTTTTTGTGGCTCGCGTTTCGTTTCCGAAATCATCATCGGATCTATTTTGATCAGTTTGTGTCGCAATTGGCTTTTGACGTGATGTTTATTAGCTATGTAATCGGCAATAGCGATATTAAGCTGGTGAGGATACATAATAATATTATTCATTGATTTGTGTGAAAAGTCGAGAAGAGGATTTTCCCAAGTTATAATATAAGTAGTAGTATTGGTTCTAGTAACTTATAGATTTCAACTTCTATGGGATTATTTCGCAGTTATTTCATTTACATATCACTTTAAGAATGGTTTCCATTCGAAAAAAGTGCGGAATATTTAGATTCCTACAATATAATAATGTTTTAGTACGTTCTAGTTACGGAAAAGGCATATACCTACCTAATGTTCATTATTCTTTTATCAATTCGTCAGCGGTTTTTTATATTGCGCTTACTAAGGACTAGGTGGACGGGTTAGTTTGCATATTTTTGGCTAGTTTCGTTACTAACCCAAACTACCCCGTCCACGTAATGCGTAGGTACTAGTCCTTGTATGGTAATATTGAATTTAGAAAAACAAGCGCGCTTCGCGCGTTTTGTTATTAACCAGTACACTTATAACCTAAACGAGCTGTAACGAAATTAACCAAAAATGTGCAAACTTACCCAAACTAACCGGTCCACGTATTGCGTATTAGTCTTTGGATGTTAATATTGAATTTAGAAAAACCTAAACGCGCTTGGAGCGCTTTGCTTTTAACCAAGGTTGTAGTATAAGGTTTCGAATAACGAAGATGGCGTCAAATGTTGTTCAAAGTGTTTATAAGTGTGAAGGGTGCAGTGAAAATTATCACTCATCCTGCGCGCTAAGAATTAAAGGACTACGTGTCATGAATGGTAGTAAAAATCTAGTCTTGTGTCCCAGCTGTGCTGACTATCCAAACCCAACGACTGATGAAGAATTAACAAAGAAAAACGCAGAAATTGCAAAACTAAATCAAAAGGTATCCGATTGACAAGCTAAAAATGATAATATGCAAGAAGAATTCTCTTGGTTACGCAAGAAATTTGACCTGATGAAAGAAAGCATGCATAAAAAACTCGACGGAATCAAGAACATAGTCAAGAAAGAACAACAAATACGTCAACAACATGAAAAAACAGTCAAAAACTCGGCCGCTCACATTCGCAACGCTGGCACGGATACTACGGATCGGGATCATGTGTTGAATGAAACGAACACGACTGAAGTTGCCACGACATCTTTGGCCAGAACTATGAAAATAACCAAACAACAAAATAAAACTGCCAAGAAGAAAAAACAGAAGATATTGCAACAGCGCCAAAAAACAAAAACACCACAACCAATATGTCAGAATTTGACTGACACTGAAAACGACGCCTCGGCTGTTGTGGAACAAAAACAAATTGACCAAACTGAAAAATCAACAATAAATGGAGAATGAAAAACCCAAAAACGCAAAGGCTTCAAAAACATTGATGGGAAACCAATACGGGGAACCTGTGAAGGCAACCACATACTGAAGCCAGCTTGAAAAATGTCTAGCCTGTTTGTTTCTGGTTTTACACCTCATACGGTAAGCCAAGATATTTTAGCTTTTCTAAAGAGCAAGGACCTAGGTGAGGGATGTTCTTGTGAAAAAATGAAGACAAAGCGTCAAAGCACACACAAAAAAGTTCTTTTAAGGTAACTGTTCCTCAAAATAAGCAAGATGAATATATGCCTCCAGATCTTTTGCCCATAGATATATTATTGAACCATTTTATGAATCTGCAGAGCCGACGATCGGCAAGGACCCTGGACAAAAGAGAACCAGGAGAAAATCGACAACAATCATAGATGATCTTCAAAACATGAAATATCTTCACCTAAATGTAAAATCACTTAGAAATAAAGTTAACGAACTTGAAGCATTCCTTGCTGACAAATGCTTTAATGTGGTAGGGCTAACAGAACTTTGGATGTCAAAAGAGGAGACTAAGACCACACAAGTTGCTGACTTTTTAACTGCCACCTGCTTTACTAGAAAACATAGTACTGGGGGAGGGTCTATTATGCAGGGTGTTTGGCGGATAGTTAGCCAAACTTGATGAGTGTATAGATAGATCCATATCGAAGATATTTTATTGATACATTAGTGCCCTTAAGTTCCCCGTTTTTTTAATATCATTGCTTTTGTATTTTTCTCCAGAATTTTTAAAAATTGACCTTTTAACTTCTGTAACTTTTATCAAGATCAAGGATACCCTACAGACCAAAAACACACGAAAAAAACATTTTCATAAACATTTAAAAAAAAGTTACAGAAGTTGAAAGGTACATTTTTGAAAATTCTTGAGAACAATACGAAGGCAATGATAAAAAAAATGGGAGCTTAAGGCCACAAGTGTATTGATAAAATATCTTTGGTATGGGCCTATCTATACGCTCACCAAGTTTGGCTAACCCTCCGCCAAACACCCTGTATATGTGAATAAGAATTTCAATGTAATGTCATCAGATTTTTTGGATAGTTTTAATGTAGAAAAGTTCCTTGAATGTTGTGGTATTGATGTAGAAAGTTTTAATCTGTATTTTTACCAATTTACCGGCCTCCTCAGGAAAGTTTTGACACCTTTTTGGGAAGCACTGAAGGAATTTTAAATAAACTGGGTATGAATAAAAAAATCATTCAAGCAGGTGATTTAAATGTCCATTTTGGAACTGATTAGAATGAAGCGGTGGTTCTCTGTGATATGCTGAAGAGCTTTGGCTTTGAAAAAACAATGACAATATCTTTGTGAAGATTAGTTTTGTTTCTGCTTCTGTTGTTGATCTGAGCATTTCTGCTCATCTGGGTCAACAGATTGAATTTAATGTGGCCACCCCACTCAGAAGCTTTGAACTGGGAAGAAAGGTATGAAGGCCGATTACAATGTCAGGAATGTTTGTGTTCTATGAGTGTATGACTGCAGAGGCATAGGATTTTGTGAGCTCTTGTGAGATGAATGCTGAGAGAAAGTGTACTATGGTTATGATTGTTTTCGAGAGGGCATACCTGAGGTCATTCCCTGAGAAAACTTACTTGGTAAGATCGGACCAGAATGGGAACATCAGCTGGTTTAATGATAACTTGAGGGCTATGCGTGAGCATCTTAACTTACTTGGCAGTCTGAGCAGGCAGTGTGATCATCCGGTATTCTCACAGGACTTTAAGGAATATAGGACTTTGTTTAGAAATGCCATTCGAGAGGCTAAGAAAAATTCAAATGACCATCTTAACAATTCCTCTGCTAATCCAACTAGGTGCATGTGGTCTTTAATCAATAAGCATAGGAATATAATATCTTCAAAACATAATGAACAATGTGAAATATCTCCCAATGAATTTAATGCCCACTTTGCCAACATGGCACACCATCTAATAGAGGATATACCAAAGACCCACGTAGATCCTGTCGTAGCCTTGAGAGGCCTCTCCTTGACCGGGCAACCATTTTCTTCTCGAGAGGTCACTTTCAATGAAGTTAGAGAAATAATTTTCAGTTTCAAAAGTAAAAATACTACTAATGTGTACGGTTTGAGCACCAGACTGCTGAAGTCTGTCATAAATGTAATTGTTATTCCTTTAACCAAGCTAATAAACAGTTGCTTTCGTGAGAGTATTTTTCCTAAAGTTCTCAAACATGCAATAATTACTCCTATACACAAAAAAGGAAATCAACATCTACCTGAAAATTACAGGCCCATTTCTGTATTGCCTGCATTGTCAAAAATTTTTGAAAAGTGCATGGCTAAACAAATCACAGACTTTTTTGAACATGGTAGGCTCTTTAGAGATTGTCAGTTTGGTTTCAGAAACGACAGAGATACCAATCTGAGCATAGTTGACCTGGTTTCGTATGTATTGCAGTCATTTGATGAGATGAAGTACACTGCATCTCTTTTTTGCGACCTAAGTAAGGCGTCTCCCATGACATTCTCCTGTGGAAGCTTCAGGCATACTCTTTGCATCAAAATAGCCTAACTTTAATAAGTTCATATCTGTCTGATAGAACCCAGGCAGTGAGGGTGGGAGGAGTGGAATCGGCCAGGAGCGACATAACTGTTGGAGTCCCACAGGGGTCCCATTCTTTTCCTAAGATATATTAACGACTTAACTTCAATGACTCCAAATGCCAAGTTTACACTCCTTGCCGATGACACAACAATATCCCTCAGGGCATCTACAATTGAGGAAGCCGTCAGGGAGTCTGCAGTGGAGGAGAGGAGGGTCGAGACCTGGTTTGCATCAAATATGCTACTTTTGAATCAGAATAAGACGGAGAGATTAGTGTTTTCCCTGAGAGACGTGAGTGATGCCAATAACGTTCAGCGGGTCAGGTTCCTGGGCGTCCAGCTTGATCCGGGTCTAGTTTGAGATGCCCAAATTGATAATGTAACAGCTGGGTTAGCAAAATATTATATATGCTTCGCAGCCTCTCGAATTCTGTATCCCTGAATACTCTAAGAACAGCGTACTTGAGCCGGTTTCATTTCACAATGACTTATTCTATTCTCGCATGTGGGCATGCAGCCCAATCTAAGAGAGTCTCTGGTCTCCAAAGAAAGGGTGTTAGAATAATGCAGGGTTTGGGTTACAGGGATGACTGCAGGGTTGCTTTCCATCAACTTCGTATAATGGCATTGCCATCTGTCTATATCCTGGAGTGTTTACGTTATCTCAAGAAAAATGAGTACTGGTATGTAACAAACTGTAGTATTCATTCATATGATACTCGACATCAAAATGACCTAGTGTCGGGATACTGTAGACTAAAGAGGTGTCAGGACGGCCCTAGGTACCTGGCCATTAAATTTTTCAACAAACTTCCCAATGCAGTAAGAAACCTACCACCAAGGCAAGATTAGGAAATATTTAATCAAGAAAGGATTCTATAGTTTTGATGAATATTTCAATTGTGACATGTCTTAAATAATGTTATTTATTATTCATGTTATTTATTGTTCTTGTTAGTTATTTCTATGCAATGTTTTATTATTATTACTTTTTTTTTTGACGTGTGTTAACATTTACTTGTATCGCCACCAATAAATAAATTAATAAACAAATAAACCAGTACACTTATAACCAGTATTAAACGTAAAAGTAACGAAACTAACCAAAAATATACAAACTAACCCGTCCATGTAATGAGTGCTAGTCCTTGTATGTTAATATTGAATTCAAAAAGTGAAGCGCGCTGCGCGCGCTATGTTGTCAACCATGTTATAACCAGTATTAAACGAACTGTAATGAAACTAATCAAAAATATACAAACTAACCCGTCCAGCTAGTCCTTAGTAAGTGCAATATTAAAAATCGCTGCCGAATTGATGAAAAAATAATGAGCATTAGGTAGGTATAGGCCTTTTCCGTAACTGAAACGTACTAAAACCTTATTATATTATAGGAAACTAAAAATTCCACACTTTTTTGAAATAGAAACCATTCTTAAAGTGATATCTAAATGAAATCACTGCGAAATAATTCCATAGAAGTTGGAACCTATAAGTTACTAGAACCAATATTACTACTTATATAACAACTTATAAAAACCCTCTTCTCGACCTTTGACACAGATCAATGTATTATGTATCCTTACCAGCTTAATATCGTTCTTGTCGATAACATAGCTCAGTCAAAATCCATCTGCGACAAAAACTCATCAAAATAGATCCGATGATAGATATTCCGGAAACGAAACGAGAGTCACAAAAAAAATACTTCAGATCAGTGGTCAGCGACCAAAAATATACCTTGTACAAATTTATAGCGAATTCAGAGAAGATAGAGCATAATAGACCTGATGATGGATATCTCGGAAACGAAACGCGAGCGACAAAAACGGATTTCAAATTTGTGATTAGCAACTAAAAATATACCTTCCTACAAATAATCATCAAATTCGGAGAGGGTAACGGATAATAGATAATTACCAACAATAGATTTCAAAATGATTTGCGCTCAACCCAGCAAAAATTCAGAGATACATCAATCGACTGTGAAACCTGTCCTCCTCTACAGACCAAGTGACAATTAATTTTCAAATTTCTTTGCTGATTCCATCAATAACCATTTGGATCATTAAAACTTGGGGTAGTCTGAAATTGCAAATTATTTTAAACTGAAACCTAAATATGTATCCTTCAACTTTTGAAAATATGTGTGATAAGGCCATCCATGAGTGTCTGAAAAGCTTTTCTTGCTGCTGATAGGTTAAAGCATACTGTCTTTACTCTCTACGCCTGGCTATAATTCAAATTGCCAAGCCTGAAATGTGAATCCTTAACCCTGTCAGCCTCCACCTCCATGGGTATTTTCCGGAACAAAACCATTGGTCGAACGATTTTTGTCACGAATAATTATTTTATAGTTTTGTATATGGATAGTTTGTTGCACAATAACAAAATTGCAATTTAGAT